TCCATGCGAAGGCGAAGGGAAGTGGAGGAGTCGTCCGATGGTTCCAATAACAATGATGATGATGACGAGGAACCTCCCTTTCGGGCAAGACGAAGGAACCCGACTGGACCCGCTGATGTATTCAAGGGAATCAAAATGAAAATCCCTGAATTCAGAGGACGGTCCGATCCCGAGGCCTTTCTCGAATGGTTATCCAAGATCGAAATGGTCTTTTCTTGCCAAAACTACTCCGAGGTGTAAAAGGTCCAATTGGCAACCATGGAATTCACTGAGTACGCTGTGGTTTGGTGAGACCAAATCAAGAAGTCTAGAAGGAGAAATGGACTCCCTGAGCTCGTTCCATGGCCCGAACTTCGAGCCATGATGCGCACCCGCTTTGTACCTGGACACTATACTAGGGATTTGTACCACCGACTACAAACCCTAATTCAGGGCAACCGGAGTGTGGATGAGTACCACAAGGAGATGGAGATCCTGATGCTTAGAGCGGATGTACAGGAGGATCCTGAAGCCACCATGGCGAGATTCTTGAGCGGGTTACGACCCGATATTGCTGAACGAGTGGAACTTCAACATTATATGGAGTTGCATGAGCTTGTTGACAAGGCCATTAAGGTCGAGCAGAGGCTCAAGAGAAGGGGTACTACTCGACGACCGACTTTCGATAACACCATCTACTCTACCAACTGCCCATTCCAACCACGGAATGACTCCCGGCCTTCACCAAATGCTCCTACACCAAAATCGAGATTCGAAGGAGGTAAGGTGGGCAACCCTAGTATTAGCAAGCCGCCCTCTTCTACTCCAAAATTTGAGGAGCCTAGGGTACAAACTAGAGCTCGTGACACTCGATGCTTCAAATGCCAAGGTAGAGGCCATATTGCTAGTCAATGTCCCAATCAAAGGACTATGATTATGATGCAAAATGGTGAGATCGTGAGTGAGGACGAAACCGAGTACAAAGGCATACCACCTCTTGACGGAGGTAGTGAGGGGGAATCGCCAAATGAAGAGGAGTTTAGTGCACCCGAGTGTCATTTTGGGACTGCTTTGGTTGCAAGGAGAGCATTAACTGCACGTGTTAAGGAGGACGAGCTTCAACGGGAGAACATTTTCTACACCAGGTGCTTTGTCAACCAAGCACTTTGTAGTATGATTATTGATAGTGGGAGCTGCACAAATATTGCTAGTTCACTCATGGTGGACAACTTGAAGTTGCCTACAAGGGATCACCCCGTGACCCTACAAGCTCCAATGGCTCAACAACTCTGGGGAGGTTCGAGTAACCAAGCAGGTTCTTATATCCTTCCAAATCCATAAATATTCTGATGAAGTATTATGTGATGTAGTTTGTGAGACCCCGAAAATTTTCTTATTTTCCAAGCCTTTATTTTGGGCTTTTGGACCTAATTTTAGGGTTTTCTTTTATATGTGGGCTTTCTGGGGAATTTTATGAGAAAATATGAATTTTGCATCATTTTCTGGGTTTAGGTTATATTCTGTGCTAGTAAGGGTGTACAGTGGTTGCGGGACCCACTAAGACAATCGGTACAGTTAAATGTAGTTTTGGAAATTTTATATACGGAAGCTTTATTACCTAGTGTTATGAGTTAATTAGATGTTAGCTAGTATAATTAAGTGTTGTAAGACAAAAGAAAGAGATAAGCTTGAAGGCCCCATGTCACATTTTTATTGGAGGTTGAATTTTGACTAAGTCTTACACCGTTACTAAATCAAAATTTTACCAAATTTCTTCTTCATTTTGCATCTTCTTGGCCGGCCATCATAGGGAGAAAAGAGAGAAAAGTTCCCAACTTTGGTTCTTCATTTCTTACCAAAATCTTGAAATCCAACCATTAATTTCTCAAATTCCTCCATAAAACCCAATTGCTAGGAAAGGTTGAAGAGCTTGGTGGAGTTGGTTGCAAGGAGAAACACTAAGTCATCTTGTTTCTAGTACTTGTAAGGTGAGTAGTTGAGAACTTGTCTCTTTGTTAGTGGTAATGTGAAATTAGTAGAGGTTAGTAGTTAAAGAGGCCATTTTATGGAGTATTTCATGATTTATACTTGAGTTGTGTCAATTTTCCCATTTATTAAGGAATTTTCTGTTTTATATGATTTCTCATGGTTAGCTAGGTTGTGATGGTATTTCAATGCATGATTTGGAGCCTAGATATGTTAATGGTGGTTAATTGTAGAAGATTTCAACATTTGTGAGAAAATTTTCGGTTTAGGGTTTGGTGAAATTGGGGCTTTTACATGTATGGTTTTCATGCTAGCAAATGATGTGTATTTGATTGTATTGTGGTTCAAATGAGGTGAATGGACTACTTTATGACTCATAGGTGTATATCTATAAGTTGGGTGTTGTTGGTTATGGTGGAAAAGTGAAGATATTAAGGGGAGATGCCGCCCAATTGGTTAGAATTATGGGTGGTCTTGAATTGAGAAGGAAAGGAATAGAAATGGAAGTATTGGGGAGTTTGTTCACATTCCACACCTTCGTTGTTCTACTTGTTATTTTTGAGTAACTTGTATTAGTAAGTAATCTTGTACGTTGACTCGTGATTAAGTCTCAAATATGTTTGCTTGCTTGTTTTAGGTCATACCGGTGGACCGGGACCTACTCCTGACTCGAACGTGTGATTTACTCGATTGCTTGGTGAGTGTACCATACAATGGTTGAATGTACTTGCTATGTGATTTGAATAGGTCAAGGGTGTACTTTATCGCTCTTGACCACTTATGTGCATTACTGTTACTGTTGAACTGTTGAATTTCATGTGTATATGGGTTGATAATTGCTAGGGCTATGCCCTATTATTCCTGTGAAATTTGAGCTCATTCCCTTAGACCGTTATTCGAGTCGAGCCGACAAGGGCTTGGGCGATTCGTTAACGAGCCTTTGGGTCACTAATAGGCGAGTGGAGTGTTAAATCCTCGGCCTTGTGGTATACTCGAGTATTACCTTTTGAAACTATGAGGTGTACGGGCCCGCATAGGGGGTGAATGGTGGAAGGAAATGGTGAGAAGAGGTGTCTACGGTTCTTGGTTGTCTTCAATGGTTGACGGAGTGTCAACGGGTATGATCAAGTATGGAAATCGGAAAACGGCCCTTGAGGGCCGACTGTATCCTTTTGCACCTGGTTGAGTTCATAAAACATTTATGTGGGTTCGTTGGATTGTATGACTTACTTGTGAAATTGGTACCTCACGAGCGTAAGCTTACCCCCGTTATCTTGTTTTCCTTACAGGAGCACCGTTGGACCCCAAGTTTTGAAATGAGTAGAGCTAGTTAAGTACCTATTTTGAAAAGCTCCTCGGAAACTTGACCTTTGATGTATATGAATCCAAGCACTTTTGAAGTGTAAATTGAACCTTTCTCTTGTATATATGGCATATATATATATGGCTTTATCAAGTCTTGGATAAACTGCATTACGTATTTGGTGTGTCTGTGTGAGTACCGGATGCAAACGAAGGAAGAAAGAATTTTGGCAAAAACTCTGCCCAGAATCCGGCCAAGAATCCGGCCAGTTTCTGGCCGGATACAAGGCCGGATATGCAGGGGAAGAAGAAAAAAATTTCGACTTTTGCTTCTGGCCACAATCCGGCCAGAGCAATCCGGCCAACTTCCGGCCGGATTTCCGGCCGGATTGACAGGGGATTTGGAAAATTTTTTAGTTTGGCTACTGCCTCATATCCGGCCAAGAATCCAGCCGGATATCCGGCCAGGTTCTGGCCGGATAGTAACGCAGCAGGTCACTGTTCATCCGCGGCAAATTTTCGTTTTTTCATTTTCTTGTCCGTTTGAAGTGCTCGAGCGCTATACTTTCTTGCATGATGATATTATGGTTACAAGAACAAGTTAATGGGATAAATCGTTCACTTTGTTGAATTTTCCTTTATAATTTAAACGCGATTCGATTATTTGTGACCCGTAGTCCTGGCGAGAGCTGGGCAGGCGGTCCGTCGACCCCTCTGGTTTGCCTTAGGGGAAGATGGGGTCGTCACAAGTGGTATCAGAGCCTAGGTTTAGATTAACCTGGGCATGTTATAGATTTTTTCATTTGGGACTTGTATTTGATTGTTTTCCTATGGGTGTTTGAGTTTAATTACGTTTTCGTGTAGGATGGACGCGCATAGTGGATCTAGTGAGATCCCGACCGTGAGAGAGGACCGTGGAGTACTTCCTATGATCAGGTACCAGATCCGGCCGAGAAGGTCAGCTGTACGCTGGAGTCCGGCTAGTCGCCTTCGGCGTTGTAAGTGCCGTCACAGGTTTGCCTACCCGAATACACTAGTATGGGCCGTGGACAAAGAAAGGAAGGAGTTGGGCAAGGATTGTGGAAGGCTAGAGGCCGAAGTAAATCATTTGAGAGAGGCCAACAAGAGGCAAGCTGAGCGAATTAAGGAGTTGGAGTATGACCTGGTTGAAGGTCAAGATAGGGTGGACGACCTGTGTACGCAGTTAGGTGAGAACACACGTGAACGAATGGTCAAGAGGGCGAGGCAAATGAAGGAGAAGGCCGGATCGATTCTGAACATGTGTGATGACCTATTAGGGGACGAGAGTGACGAGGACTCGTACGTGAGGGGTTCGGTCGGAGTCGAATCCGCTCAAGCGAGTAGGTCTTCTAGTCCCACGGTAGGCTAGGGTATGGCTTTTAAGCCATTTTGGAAGATTTTGACTTTGTATATAAGGGGCATGGAATGGTAGGCCGGGAAGGACTCTTAGCTAGTCGCGTTGTATATAGGACTAGTTTTGTATATATTACTTTTGTATTACCATTCCGTTAGAGGTTTTCTTGTTGGTACTTGACTGACTGTTGTGTTTGATCTTGTTGTGAATGCTATGAATATGTGTTATGTGTTTAAGTGCTTTATGAAGTACTTGTTTGGTTAAGAGTTCATGGTTATTGTTATATACAGGGGTGTGTACTCTTTAATGTTAATGTTATATTTATGGGTATATTTTGGCCCTAGATTAATCTAGAACGATGGAAGGCATGCGTAGTGGCCGAGGTAGGGGACGTGGGGGTAGACAGCCCACGACTGAACAGGGTACGGGAACTGAAGTGCCCGAACCAACTCCTGAACCCCAAATCGATCCTAATGTGCAAGTGGCCGCTGCTATCCAGCGGATGACCGATCTCCTGGCCCAGGTGGTGCAGCAACAGGGCCCTAACCCTAATCCACCCGTCGGCAACCCTGGAAACCCTGGAAATCATGTCGAGAGCGAAGATCGAGCTCTCGAACTATTTCAAAAATTTTCTCCACCTAAATTTCTTGGAGGGCCCAACCCGGACGTGGCGGAGCAATGGTTGGAGAAGATGATAGACATCTTTGCCGCCCTACGTTACTCGGAAGAGAGGCAAGTGACCTTTGCGGTTTTTCAACTCGAAGGGGCTGCACGCTCTTGGTGGAACATTATTCGGACAAAATGGGAGCGAGAACAGACACCAAGGACATGGATGAACTTTGTAAGGGAATTCAACGCCAAGTACTTTCCACCATTAGTTCAGGAGAAAAAGGAAGACGAATTTATTCGTCTATGTCAGGGTACGCAAACGGTGGCCGAATATGAAAGCCAATTCACACGTTTGTCCAAGTTTGCCCCTGAGCTCATTTTGACAGAGCAAAGGAGGGCGAGACGTTTCCTTCAGGGGCTTAATGTGGAAATCCAAAAGGATTTGGCCGTAGCCCAAATCACCACTTTCAGTGATGCTGTGGAGAAGGCATTACGATCCGAGAACGCAAGGTTGCAGGTGAGGAACTTCCAGAATAGGAAGCGGGGAGCTGCTGGGAGTAGCTCCACTCAAGGGGATAAAGGTACCCCTCCTAAGTTTGGAAGGGGAGCTGGAGGGGGACGGTTCGCGAGTCCGGCCCGAGGGGCTCCCTCTCGAGGAAGCCAACCCGGACGAGGCCAACAGAGGAGTGCCTTACAAGGGAGTTCCGCTACTGTTACGCGCGGGCCGTGTGGCTTCTGTGGGAAACCAAACCACACGGAGGATGACTGTTGGAGGAAGCAGAACAAATGTCTGCGGTGCGGAAGTGCGGAGCACCGGTTCGCCAGCTGTCCAGTCCAGGCACGAGACGTGAGAGGAACTACACCGACATCTAAGGCTACTTCAAGTCAATCACGGGTAGATAGTGCCAAACCGAAGGTGCCCGCACGGGTGTACTCCATTGAACAACGGCCAGTTCCTGATTCCGCCGAGGTAGTGGAAGGTACGATTCCTGTCTTCCACCGCCTAGCTAGAATTTTGATAGACCCTGGAGCCACCCATTCCTTTGTTAACCCCGAGTTTATGTGTGGAATTGATATAAACCCTGTTACTCTTCCTTATGAGTTAGAAGTTAGTACTCCTACGGGGGACCACTGTTTGATTTCTAGCAAAATGTACACGAATTGTGAAATTTGGGTAGTGAGCGGAAGTTATTGGGAAATTTGATAAGTTTAGCCATAAAGGGGTACGATGTTATATTAGGCATGGATTGGTTGGCTCGATACGATGCCCAGCTGGACTGCAAGAGGAAAACTGTTGAATTTCGTATTCCTGGGGAGGCAATTTTGAGGTTAGATGTGAGGGGTAGTCTAGCCTCATCTGCTATGATTTCCGGTATTCGAGCTAGGAAATTATTGAATAGAGGGGCGCAAGGGTTCCTAGCTTTTCTTATTAACACTCCTACTGACAAACTGAAAATTGAAGATGTCCCAGTAGTGAGTGAATACCCTGATGTTTTTCCTGACGAGTTAGTAAATTTGCCTCCAGAAAGAGAAATTGAGTTTGAAGTTAACCTTTGTCCAGGGGCTTCACCTATTTCCAAAACTCCTTACCGAATGGCACCTGCAGAACTCAAAGAGTTGAAATTACAGTTGCAAGACCTTCTAGAGCGGGGGTTTATTCACGAGAGCGGATCACCTTGGGGGGCACCTGTTCTCTTTGTTAAACAGAAGGACGGGACCTTGAGACTATGTATTGACTACGAGGGTTGAACAACGTGACCATTAAGAATAAGTACCCCCTACCTCACATCGATGAGTTATTTGATCAATTACAGGGTGCGGTGGTCTTCTCGAAGTTAGATCTTCAACAGGGGTATTACCAACTGTTAATTAGAAAGGAAGATGTACCTAAAACTGCCTTCAATTCTCGGTATGGGCACTACGAATTTGCCGTAATGCCTTTTGGACTGACTAACGCCCCTGCCGCTTTCATGGACCTCATGCATCGAATTTTTAAACCCTATCTCGACCGATTTGTCGTTGTTTTTATCGACGACATATTGGTTTATTCAAAAACCCGTGAGGAGCATGAACAACATTTGAATGAGGTCCTACAAACCCTGAGGAGCACCAGTTGTATGCCAAATTTAGCAAATGTGAGTTTTGGTTAGAAAGAGTCGCTTTTCTGGGGCACGTGATTTCTAAGGAAGGGATTGCTGTGGATCCGGCCAAGGTAGAAGCGGTAACTGAGTGGAAGAGACCCGATAACCCACGGAGATCCGAAGTTTTCTAGGGTTGGCAGGTTATTACCGGCGGTTTATTAAAGATTTTTCGAAACTTGCCAGTCCCTTAACTGATTTAACCAAGAAGGGTGGACGATTTCTGTGGAGTGATAAGTGTGAAACCTGTTTTCAAGAGCTGAAGCGAAGATTGACTATGGCCCCTATTCTAGCTTTACCTAACGGTCCGGATGGTTTCACTGTTTATACTGACGCCTCCAAAGAAGGGTTGGGGTGTGTATTGATGCAACATCAAAATGTGATAGCTTACGCTTCCAGGAAATTGAAAACTCATGAGCAAAACTATCCCATTCATGACCTGGAACTTGCCGCAGTTGTCTTCGCTCTGAAAAAGTGGAGACATTATCTGTACGGGGTGATCTTTGAAGTCTATTCTGACCATAAAAGCCTCAAATACCTCTTTTCCCAGAAGGAGTTGAACATGAGACAGCGTCGTTGGATGGAATTTTTGGAGGATTACGATTATACTATTAACTACCATCCTGGTAAGGCTAATGTGGTAGCCGATGCCTTAAGTCGAAAGGGGCAAATTTCTGGATTGATGGTGAAGGAGTGGGAATTATTGGGAGCGGTTGGAGAATGGAATCCAAAACTGGAGCATAATAGGATAACCTTTGGGAATATCCGAGTGACGTCCGTGTTTCTAGAAAAGATCAAGGAAGCTCAAATTAAGGATCCGATAGTTCAAAGGTGGGTAGAAAAGGTGAAGAAAGGAGAAATACCTAATTTTAATTTGAGCCCTGAAGGAATTTTGAGATTTCGAAATCGAATAGTGGTACCCGATGATGAAGCGTTGAGAAGGGAAATTTTGGAGGAAGCTCATCGATCTAAGTATACAATCCATCCAGGAAGTAACAAGATGTATCATGACTTGCGACGATTGTACTGGTGGGACAGGATGAAGAGAGAGATAGCTCAGTACGTACAAACCTGTTTAGTGTGCCAGCAAGTTAAGGCTGAGCACCAGAAGCCTTCGGGACTACTGCAACCCTTGGAGATTCCTGAATGGAAATGGGAACATATCACTATGGATTTTGTTTCTGGACTACCTAGAACTCAAAAGGGACATGATACCGTTTGGGTGATCGTTGATCGATTGACCAAGTCGGCTAATTTCCTACCTGTGAATATGAAGTATTCCCTAGATAAGTTAGCTCGGGTATACTTGGAGGAGATTGTAAGATTACATGGAGTGCCCGTGCATCGTTTCCGACCGAGACCCTCGTTTCGTGTCCAGATTTGGCAAAGTTTCAGGAGACCCTGGGGACGAAGCTGAATTTGAGTACTACTTATCACCCTCAGACGGATGGGCAATCAGAGCGAACGATCAGACTCTCGAATATATGTACGAACGAGTATTCTAGATTTCGGGGGTAGTTGGGACAACACTCAAGAAAGATGATAACTTAGGGTTTTTCTTTCACAAATCCCTCCACTAGAAGCTTTAATCCTCCTTAATAAGTAACTTTGATGGAGTAATCTTCACTTTTAATGGTTAGAAATCAAGATTGGAGCAAGGGATTGAAGTACAAGATGAAGGATTTCCTCTCTTTTCTCTCCTCAAAATTTCAGCCAACAAGGTTAAAAATGAAGAAACATTTGGTCAAAATGGATGTTTAGTAAAGTTAAGAAAAGTTAGTCAAAGTCCCCATCCAATGGTTTCATGACACTTGTCCCTCTCATTAATGTCATGCCTAACTTTTTTTTTTGTCTTTCTCACACCTATTGTAAGGATCGAAGACAACCTAAGAGGGGGGTGAATTAGGTTTTCAAAAACCTGCTAAGATATATTCTACTTTTTTTCACAGACAGCCTTTCTTTTCTCAAATACCTCCCAATGAACAAGATAACACAAGAGCACGGGTATTCGTGAGATGGAGAGAAGAATAGTTTATGTAGAAAAGCAGTAAATGAGAGTAAAGAAACAAATCAAGCTTCAAACACAACTGAGGTTTGAACACCACTTTTATATAACAAGTTACTTCAAGTTGAATAGACTTGCAACCAATCTTTTGTGTACAAGGAAGGGATCACTTCCTTCTTGCCCCAAACCACACTTGGTCAAGCAAGGAAGTTTTACAAACACTCGCAAACCCTCACTATGCTACACTATTGAAGAAGCTATGTCACACTTGAAAAAAAATTGCACGAAGATTGCACAAGCAAGGAGTACAAATATTCCTTTTGAGTATTCTAGCACACGAATCACTCACAATCTGATGTAGGCTTGATGTACAAAGTTATTTTGAGGTGGTTGACTTTGTTCTTTTTATAGGAGACCAAAGAGTTCCTCAATTAATGCTGTCAACGGGTAGAAGGCAGCTGAAGAGTCAACTAGCCGTTGGTACTGTCGGACGTCCGATGTTTGGTTTTTATGCGTCCGAACGAGATCAATGAGTTCTGGAAGTTTTCTTGAATCCCTTAGGACGTCCGATCATGCGTCCGAGGGTAGGATGAATACTTGGATTTTCTTCTTCACTTCCTTCGGACGGCCGATGCATCCAGAGTGTTCCGTCCGAAGAGCAGCAACGCTTGTCGGACGTCCGATACACAGGTGTTGAGCGTCCGAACCTGATCAGTAATCGAGTAACTCCTGGCTTGTCTTCTTCGGACGTCCGAGTCTGAGTTCTTTACTCGTCCGAAGATACTCAAAGAATGTCGGACGTCCGATATTCTCCTTTTGTGCGTCCGACATCATCCTCAGCAGACTTCATTCTTTTTGATCTTCTTTTTCTGCTTTAAATCCACAGACCTGTTTGGTTCATTTCTGAAAAGGATCTCTACAAAAGGTATTAGAAACATCCAATTGTTTTGTAATCATCAAAAGATATGAATTGAGATAAACAATCTCCCCCTTTTTGATGATGACAAAACAATTGGATAGAGCACAAAATATAACAGCTCTTCCTAACGAAGTGCATGAGTATAACAGCTCCCCCTAACGGAGTGCATGAGTAGTATATCAGAAGAAGCGCAATCCACATCATCAGTGCTGATCCAGCTCAACTCCCCCTGAGACTGTCTCCCCCTAACTAGTTACTCTATACTATCAGTGTTAAACCAAATCCAATTCCAATTCTCCCCCTTTTTGTCATCACAAGATTGAGTATCAGTTTTGGAACCAGCAGTACGTCCCATCAAAAACATTATCAGTGTATTCATTTACAATGTACAACACAGTTTGGACTCAATCATGTAACAGATGTTAAACAGAAACATTCATTCATTGAGCAGATTTCAAAAATATATAACCAATCATAACATCCATTCAAAGCATTCATAACAAGCACTTAGTTAAAACATTCATAAACAGTAAAAAATATCCAGTTGTACAGACCAGGTGTTCAACACTTAGTACAAAAGTGCAATGCAAAAGATGAACTATAGTCCTAGGTTTAGGTGCAGTGACCTAGTGTAAGGTCTGGTGCAACCCAATGAGTACAAACAATATCACAATGATGCACAAAGATATATCAAATTTAAGCACAATATCATTTATTTTTGTTTTCAAATCTTTATTTTTAGCATAAGATTTTCTCAAATTTTTATGCATTTTAATCATAAGAATTTTCACATCATCATCTTCATTATCTTCATCACAAGAAGAGTGATAAGAACTTACCTCATCTTCTCCAACGGCCATTAGTGCCATTTGGGCCAACTCTTCTTTTTCTCTTTTTGAATTGCATTCATCCCATGTAATTTTGCAATCTCCTCTTGAACATCTCTTGTTGAAGATCTTCTTGAAACTTTTGATGTGAGGAGTTATATCATTGTCCACTTCCATGATTTCATTACCCATGAAGGATGGGTTATCCCCCACTTGAGATGCTTTAAAAGCTATGCCTCTCTTATACATTCTTGCATTTTCTTCCTCTTGCACTTTGAATTTCAGCTTTAATTCATAAGAGGTTAGTGTATCCACAAGAGATTCAATGGACATAGAATTTAAATCCTTTGCCTCTTCTATAGCATTTATTTTGTTTTCCCATTCTTTTGGCAAGGCATTCAAAATCTTTCTATTTTTCTCACCCAAAGAATATTCTTTTCCAAGCAATTTAAGATCTTGAATAATGTCACAAAATCTACTACACATCTTATCAACATTTTCAAGAGGATGCATTTTGAAAAATTCATATTGAGAAACAAGTAAAGATTTCTTTTGTTCTTTAATATCTTGGTTACCTTCATGAAATTCACACAATTTATCCCAAATATCTTTAGCTGATTTACAACCTTTAATCCTACCAGATTCATTTACATCTAACGCAATGCACAATATATACATGGCCTTGGCATTCAAAGAAAGATATATCTTGTCTTTTTCATTCAATTCTTGTCTAGTCTTTAATCTACTCAAATTTGTAACATCCCGAATATTAGGAGGTTGTTGTGAAGAAAATATTAAAGTGTATTTCTTTGGGTTTGATTAAAACCTAATTTTGTTTTAAAAAGACTAGAAACCCTAAA